TCATCATCATCATCATCATCATCAATGACCATATTCTATCCATTATGGGTCCGCTTTGCGATTCCTTCTCATTTGTTTTTTTTCCCTGCTGAAGTTCAACCTGTTGTAAAGTACAACTTGTTTAGTTAGCAATGTCGTGTTAAAGAATTAATTGTTGTTAGTTTTCTAGTTTGTATGTGGTATGATCTTGAATTCTTTTGGTTTTATTTAAGCACAAAAAGCTGAAAACTTTGGCTATTAAAGTGATAGAAGTACACTTGTTTGTTTGGTGTCCAATTTATTAAGTTTTTCACACCTGAAATATGGTCTCTAAGCGCATAGGGATTGTGCAAATTGAGGGCTCACTTGGGTGATCATTTTTATTTTTATTATCAATTTGGAAAAACATATTTGTTTGGTGTTGTTTTTAACTAATTTTTTTTTATTAAAAAAATCATGTTAATTTTAAAACTACTCAAAATAATTTTGATATGTATTGTCGCTATCACTGTCTACGTTGCTCTTGCCCAGTCGGTGACCCCCGTCACTGCCACATAAATAAACTTTGGATATTTTATAAAAGCAAAAACAACATATTTTTAAGACCCAATATGCTTTTTTCATATAAAAACCTAAACTAATTAAAATAAAGACAAAAATAAACATGATTTCAAATGACTTCTAATTTTCTTTTAAGTTTTACTAATAGGATCTTTTAGGATAATTGGGAGAGATATTTTGCCAAGGGAGAGTTGGTGTGCTAGTATGAAAAGAAAGTATGAAAAGTTAAAGGTGTTTTTCCTTACTGACCTACGTCTATTTTAGAGGCTTCATTATTATTCTTAATTCTTTTAGTTAGAACTACATATTTTGAGCTATCTTTGGTTAGCTAAATGGAGTGTGATAGAAATGAGAATGCTATGATATATTTGTTGAAACTAGGAATGATGGATTTAAAAATGATTAATGTTGAGGGGTAATAGAAATAACAACCATTGATGCTAAACAGTCTTTTGGTGGTTTTGACCTGACATGGTAGAGATTAGAAGATGCGCCAATAAAACAGATTAATGAAGGTAATGCCAAAGGATTAGAAAAAAAGAGATGTAGAGTTGATATGGGAAAAATAGTTTTATTACCCTATACTTTAGTAATTTTATTAAACAAAAATTTGTAGAGAAGGATGATTCATATTGATGACCCCGCATAGTTGGGATAAGCTTGATGATTTTGACGGTATTCCTAATTTTTCAGTATTCTAATGCGTTCAACAATTTATTATTCTCTTTGAAAAATTCATTAAATTAAATATGTGTTTTGGAATTGCATTCTTTGATTACCTTTTTTGATGTTGAGTGTACTAAGAAGGTGATTTCTGGCAATACAATAATTTTGGATTCCACAATTCCCTCCATCACTCCCCTCCTCCC